TTGGAAAAATGGTGGCAATAAAATTACTTGATGCTTTGTTGCCACAACTTTCAATTTTTTAAAAATGCAGATCTCATTTTATTATATTTTGCTTCATTGAAATATAATAAAATGAGATCTGTCTGTATTTTAAATATTCATTGATAGTTGGAGATAACAGTAGAAAGTCCTATGTTGGAATGAATTCCTTGTTTCCAGTCAGAATAATATGATCTTGGAATGGTTGTTGCTCTTTAGTCACTAAGTCATGTCCGATTCTTTTGCAACCTCATGGACTGTATCCAGCTATGCTCCTCTGTCCGTGGGATTTCCCAGGCCAGAATCAGAATCCTGGAGTGGGTTTCCATTTCCTTCTTCAGGGGATCTTCCTGACCCAGGGATCAAACGCAGGGCTCCTGCATTGGTAGGAAGATTCTTTACCACTGAGCCACCTGGGAAGCCCTCCTGGAGTGGTAGAGAGAAGATAATGGAACTAAAACATCAGCATGTGGACTGGCAGAGTGCTTTTAAAAAATGTTTATTTTGGAATAATTTTAAATTTATTGAAGCATTTCAAAGATGGTTTTTGTATACTCTTCACTCAGCTTCCCTAATGTTAGTGTCTTATATGTCCATTGGTATACTTGCCAAAACCAAGACATTAACATGATATAGTACAATTAACAAACACTTTATTGGAATTTAGCTAGTTTTTCGTCTATTGTTCTGTTCTGTTCCCAGATCCAATCCAGGGACACCACATAACATAGTCTTCTCATCTCCTTAGTCTCCTTGTCAGGATTACTTTGTTGACAAACGCTCATATAGTCAAAGCTATGGTTGTTCCAGTAGTCATGTATGGATGTGAGAGTTGTATGGATCATACAATTGGTCCATAAACCATGTATGGACCATAAAGAAGGCTGAGCACTGAAGAACTGATGTTTTTGAACTATGGTTTTGGAGAAGATTCTTGAAAGCCCCTTGGAATGCAAGGAGATCAAACCAGACAACCCTAAAGAAAATTAATCCTTCATATTCATTGGAAGGACTGATGCTGAGTCTGAAGCTCCAGTACTTTGACCCCTTGATGTAAAGAGCCAACTCACTGGAAAAGACCTTGATGCTGGGGAAGATAAAAAGCAGGAGGAGAGGGGGATGACAGAGGACAAGGTGATTGGATTGGATCACTGACTCAATGGACATGAGTTTGAGCTGGTGTGCTGTAGTCCATGGGATCACTAAGAGTTGGACACAAATGAGCAACCAAACAACAATGTCAACAACTCCTTAGTCTCTTCTGAACTCTGACAGTGTCTTAGTCTTTCTTTTTCATGATCTTGACAGTTTGGGAGAATATTTGATATTTGGTCAGGTATTTTGAGTTTGTCTGATGAATGCTAGTGACCAGACTAGGGTTAAAGGCTTTGAGGAAGGATACTACAAATGTGTAGTATCTTATCACATCATTTCAGGGGGTACAAGATAGCAACTGACTCATTACTGATAGTTACCTCATCAAAGCTATGGTTGTTCCAGTAGTCATGTATGGATGTGAGAGTTGTATGGATCATACAATTGGTCCATAAACCATGTATGGACCATAAAGAAGGCTGAGCACTGAAGAACTGATGTTTTTGAACTATGGTTTTGGAGAAGATTCTTGAAAGCCCCTTGGAACGCAAGGAGATCAAACCAGTCAATCCTAAAGGAAATTAACCCTTCATATTCATTGGAAGGACTGATGCTCAGTCTGAAGCTCCAGTACTTTGACCCCTTGATGTAAAGAGCCAACTCACTGGAAAAGACCTTGATGCTGGGGAAGAGAAAAAGCAGGAGGAGAGGGGGATGACAGAGGACAAGGTGATTGGATTGGATCACTGACTCAATGGACATGAGTTTGAGCTGGTCTGCTGTAGTCCATGGGATCACTAAGAGTTGGACACAAATGAGCAACCAAACAACAATGTCAACAACTCCTTAGTCTCTTCTGAACTCTGACAGTGTCTTAGTCTTTCTTTTTCATGATCTTGACAGTTTGGGAGAATATTTGATATTTGGTCAGGTATTTTGAGTTTGTCTGATGAATGCTAGTGACCAGACTAGGGTTAAAGGCTTTGAGGAAGGATACTACAAATGTGTAGTATCTTATCACATCATTTCAGGGGGTACAAGATAGCAACTGACTCATTACTGATAGTTACCTCAACAATATTTTTTTTAACATAAGATTCATCAGGTTTTCCCTCTGCAAATTTGCCATTTTTCTTCTTCCTACATATACTCCCTTGTTTGAGAGCTAGTCACGAAGTCTAGCTCAAATGCAAGAGGAGGGAAATTAAGTTTTATCTTTTATAAGGAGAGTGTTTATTTATACATATTATTTGAAATTCTACTGTAAGAAAGAGTTATGCCTTCTCTCACATTTGTTTACTTGCTCAGTCATTTATTTATATTATTTTGGTCTCATGGATTTTTTTATTCTTTGGATCATAATTCAATATTTTTATTATTTATCATACTCAGAATGCTTCAGCTTTTTCACAACGGCTCCTTTATCCTTTTGACCTGCAACCATTTTTGTTTAAGCAGTATATTCTGGTAGTACAGGATGCTCAAAGCCCATCTTGTGTTTTTCTCTCCTCAGCCTATTTCCATAGGGACCTCTGATTCCTTTTAGTAGAGGACGGTATCAGAAAGCAAGATCTGGAAGTTAGGTGTGTTCACTACTATCATTTCGTCACTGTTCCTGGACCTTCTCAGCAGACATAGCTAGAAAATATATATTTGCTTATTATCCATATACACATACATTTGTACCCCTTTATTTATATACAAATAAACAATAGACACAGGCTTATAACTGAATTATCTGTATATATACTTGCATATGTAAATATAGAGATTGACATTAGTTCATACTGATATTTCCAGTGTGAACCCAGAACCTAGGACTTTATTGTAGTTCCCCATCCCCTTACATATAACTAGCTTCATTTCTGATCATGGGAAACCTGGTTCCCTTTTTTATGATTTAAATATTTATTTAGCAATATTATATACATAAAATAATATGTTATTTATATACAATTATTTTTCTCTTTCCCTGGTGGTTCAGACAGTTAAGAATCTGCCTGCAATGCAGGAAACACGGATTTGATCCCTGGATAGGGAAGATCCCATGGAGAAGGGGATGGCTACCCACTCCAGTATTCTTGCCTGGAGAATTCCATGCTCAGAAGAGCCTGGTGGGCTACAGTCCAAGGGCTCACAAAGAGTCAAACAAGACTGAATGACTAACACTTTCACTTTTTGACTTGAACATAACAGTAGTCAGCAAAAAACTGTTTTCCAAAGTTACTTAGGTCAGATAATTTTTGCCTTACTTCCTTTAATGAGATTATTATTTGTCTACAATAAATACATATAGATATACATTAGATTAATATAATTCTTTTACTGTAGCATGAATCCAGTCTTGTGATCTTGGGGTTTACACTTGCACCGGAGANCCCATGGACCATACAGTCCATGGAATTCTCCAGGCCAGAACACTGGAGTGGGTAGCCTTTCCCTTCTCTGGGGATCTTTCCAACCCAGGGATCGAGCCCAGGTCTCTCACATTGCAGGCAGATTCTTTACCATTTGAGCCATCAGGGAAGCCCATCTATCATTGCTGGACCAAATAAAAGAGTTTCATTACTTTAAACTTTCCGTGTGTGGTACCTTTGGCATCAACTCCACCTATGTCAAACTATGGCAATCTCTGGTCTGTTTCCTGGCCTTATAGATTTACTTTTTAAAAATAAAATTATAGTCATGGAATTACACTATGTGCACCCCTTTGGGTCTTCCTTCTTTCACTTGGAACAACTTATTTAATATTGATCCATATTCTGCAAGATTCAGTAACTCATTTTTTGTATTGCTGAGAAGTATCCCTTTGTATTATATACCGCCGTTTCTTTATATATTCATCTGAAGAGTATCTTGTCAACTATCTGGACATGAAAATGTTTTTTGGAAAGCTTTTACTTTACTAGAAATTTAATTTCTTTAATAGATATATGGCTATTCAGCTTATCTATTTCTTCTTGAGTGAGTTTTGGTAATCTGAATCTTCCTAGTAATTGGTCTATGTCAAATAAGTTTTCAAATTTAGGGCCATAATGATGATGTGGGAGTCTGTTGTTATTCTATTTTTACCTTTGTTACTGTTACTTTTAAATGTCTGTGGAACCTGCTGATGTTGCCTGCTTGATTCATGAATTTGGTAACTTGTGTTTTGTTTTGTTTTTTCCCTTTTTTTGGTTATGGTCCCCCTAGAGGCGTATTGATTGTACTGATCTCTCTTTGGCAGGGAACTATGTTCAATAAGTGAAGTGAAAATCACTCAGTTGTGTCCAACTGTTTGCCAGCCCGTGGACTGTGCAGTCCATGGAATTCTCCAGACCAGACCACTGGAGTGGGTAGCCTTTCCCTTCTCCAGCAGATCTGCCTGACCCAGGAATAGAACCAGGGTATCCTGCATTGCAGGGGGATTATTTACCAGCTGACCTACTGGGGAAGCCCTATATTCTGTAATAAACTGTAATGGAAAGAATGTTAAGAAGATATTGCTTTCCTAACCAAAATTAAGATAGATTTTGTACTTTTGTAGTAAAAGTCATCATCTCAACTGCTTATTATAAAAATTTACATAGAGAACACAGTCCTTAGCAAGCTGAACAATTTTTACAAGAAGTGGTTTAACAGAGCAGGAAATCACAAACCTGAGTCCTAAGGCTTAAATTTTAGTCCTAGTTCAGTTTATTATCACCTGGACATCCTCTGACACATCAATTTTCTCATATATGAAACAGAGAAAAATAACTTTCATGCCTTCTGGGTTATTGTGTAATGAAGCATTGTAATTTATGATGTTTAAATGTTATTGCTAGCATTTTTGCTTTCAGGACAGTTTTATCCCTAAATTCAAACTCATGCAAAAGAATAATGATTGTTTTCTTTTACTTATCTAGCCTTCCAGAAAAAAATCATTATTTCGGCAGTGATGAACATGTGCATGTGTAACTATTTTAAGGGATGATGCATGATGAAGGGAGTGAACTCTTGTGAGTATAGCAAATCAGCTCTTTATATGAAAAGAAGCTTAATAAATTTATCTCTTTATATATATATATACCTGAATATATATAGGTATATAGATAAATAGATATAGATGTAGATCTAAATCACTTTGCTGTACACCTGGAAATAACACATGGTAAAACAAGTATACTTCAATTAAAAAAATTAAAAAGCAGCTTTATTGATTTTTGTTTTTAGTTTTCTTTCTGTTATCAATTGTATTGATTTGCTATAATTTGTACTATTTTATTCTTTCTGTTTGCTTTAGTTTTAGTTTTTTTTTTTTTTCTAGTTTCCAGTTTCTCTAATGGAATAAGTTACTGAAGTTAAATCTTTCTAATACAAAGATTTAGTGTTATAGACTTACTTGTAAGCGCTAATTAAGCTGTATTCCTCAAATTTTGATATTTTCATTCTCTTTTCATGATTTAAATTAGTACACTTTAATTTTTAGGGAAATTAACTTTTATGCAGAATACATCATGCAAAATCCTGGGCTGGATGAAGCACAAGCTGGGATCAAGACTGCTGGGAGAAATAATAACCTCAGATATGCAGATGACACCACCCTTACGGCAGAAAACGAAGAAGAACTAAAGAGCCTCTTGATGAAAGTGAAAGAAGAGAGTTAAAAAGTTGTCTTAAAACTCATATTAATCAAAAAGCTAAGGTCATGGCATCTGGTCCCATCACTTCATGGCAAATAGGTGGAGAAACAATGGAGACCGTAAGAGACTTTATTTTTGGAGGTTCCAAAATCACTGCAGATGGTGACTGCAACCATGAAATTAAAAGACACTTGCTCCTTGGAAGAAAAGCTATGACAAATCTAGAGAGCACATTAAAAAGCAGAGACATTACTTTGCTGACCAATGTCCGTCTAGTCAAAGCTATGGTTTTTCCAGTAGTCATGTATGGATGTGAGAGTTGGACCATAAAGAAGACTGAGCACTGAAGAATTGATGCTTTTGAGTTGTGGTGTTGCAGAAGACTCTTGAGATTTCCTTGGACTGCGAGGAGATCCAACCAGTCCATCCTAAAGACAATCAGTCCTGAATATTTATTGGAAGGACTGATGCTGAAGCTGAAACTCCAATACTTTGGTCACCTGGTGTGAAGAACTGACTCATTGGGAAAAATTGAAGGCAGGAGAAGATGGGGATGACAAAGGATGAGATGGTTGGATGGCATCATTGACTCAATGTATATGAGTTTGAGCAATCTCGTGGAGCTGGTAATGGACAGGGAAGCCTGGTAGGCTGCAGTCTAGGGGGTCGCAAAGAATTGGACATGACTTCGTGTCTGAACCTAGTGACAGAAAATCCCCATAAACTCAGCTTACCTCAATATTAACATGTTGTATTAGTATGATACATTTGTTGCAATTGATGATCCAATATTGATACATTCTTATCTGAAGTCCATAATTTATACTGAGATTCACTGTTTGTGTTTACGTTCTGTAGATTTTGACAAATGTATAGTGACATGTACCCACCATTGCAAAGTCGTACAAGATGGCTCCACTGCCTAAAAACCCTTTATGTTCTACCTATTCGTGTCTTTCTTGCCCCTAACCACTGCCAACTACTAAATGTCATTGTCTATAGCTTTGTCTTTTCCATAATGTGGTATAACTTGAATCATTCAGTATGTAGAATATTTTGATTGGCTCCTTTCTTAACAGTATGCATAATGCTATCACACATTTAATAGTATACAGTGTAAGCATAAATTTTAAATATAACTTTTTTGGAAACCAGAAAGCTCATGTGACCTGCTGATTGTGATATTCTCTTTATTGCAGTGGTTTGGAACTGAACTGCAATATATTCAAGATATGCTTGTGTACGTGCCATCACAGCAATGCATTTCTTTATATCTTGATGAAAAGAGTGTCTTCCAGGTCCTCTGTGGAAGCTGTTTAAAGAGTAGCCGAGCAGTTTGACATTAAAAGATTCACTCCAATATGTCCATCTCTTGAGCTCTTATCCTCCTCACTCTGAAGATTGCTAGATTTCCTGCTTATTCCTCTCATTGGTGGTGGCTTAAATGCTAAGTTGTGTCTGACTCTTGTGACCCCATGGACTGTAGCCTGGTAGGTTCCTCTGTCCATGGGATTCTCCAGGCAAGAATAATGGAGTGGGTTGCCATTTCCTTCTCAGGAAGATCTTCCCAACCCAAGGATGGAACTGGGGTCTCCTGCACTGCAGGCAGATTCTTTACTGACTTAGCTAAGAGGGAAGCCCTATTCCTCTCATTAGTTTGGGTAACCATTGAGTCCAGGGTTCAGTTACAACTTAGCAGACTGTTAATGCCATTCCAACTGGGTAAGCCAACAATTACATCCATGTGAATATATGTGTATTAACAATTTCAGTCCAGTCTCATCCCAAATTTTGTCCATTTTGGCCAAGTAATATTAAACTTCCTTTCCATGCATATTTTCTTATAGAAAAAAATTTGCAGACATTTGTAGCTCATTTGACATCTGTGTTGTCATCAAAAAGATGACTAATTCTTTGTCTGGGCTCTACTGGAATACAATACCATGAAGAGACTTGCAGAGTGCTGAGAAAAAGTAGCATCACCTTGTGAGGCAATTTCCTTAGTTGCATTTATGGAAAGGATTTTTTTTTTTTTTTTTTTTTTTTTTTTTTTTTTTTTTTCCATTT